AAACAAAAAGCCCTCAAAGATACGGACACCGTCCACTGCACTGCCAGATGACTTCCGTTATACCTAATTCCTCTTCACAGATCTCATTCCTTGTAGCTTCCCAACCTTGACACCTCTGACTAACAAGGAATGGAGCAAGAGAAATGAGGAAACAAAAAAGCTTAGCTTGACAGGGATGGAGAAACTGTGGTGAAGGAAGATTACTGACTGTAAAAGGGGACAAGATTGCAGACCAGTAATTGAGACCAAGTCTTGTGAGAGTGAGTACAACGACGTCTTACTGCAGTGGGCAAGCTAGGCTTCTGGAAAGGTTCCTTTAGTATGACATGTTCGAATTCTGTCAGATGCCCAGCCTCTTCAAACCTATCTGCTATGCATCCTTCAGCACCACTCCCCTCTTGCGTGAATGGCCCGCTCCTGACTTTACTATGTGAATACAAGCTACAGAAGCAATGCACTAGAGCACAAATCCATTAATTCATGAACAAACTATGCTGATATCCTATCGGATCTGGCCTTAAATCCTCCAGTTGTGGTTATGGAGATGCAAGGCAGCAACTTGCACTTATGTAAAGCCAAAGCACCTCACAGGTACTTTAATTTAAAAGAAATTGATACTGATCTGCACCAGATTTTAGAGCAACAGACTGTAGTTTGGGTCAAAGTGCTACGTTTTAAGGAGGTATTTTAAAGGCTGAGATTTAGGGAGAGCAGTCTGGAACTTGGGACCCAAGCAGCTAAAGGCACATCTGTCTGTGGATGGAGTGAAGGAAATTGGGAGTACTCAAGAGGTGGAGGTATGCAGATAATGATGGGGATGTTCTGGGGCTGGAAGGGGTAAGAGTTGAGCAAGACCATGAATGAAGAGTGAGAATTTGAAAATTGAGGCATGCCACTGTAGGTCCAAAAGTATGAGGTGGTGCACAGCACCCTCAACTAGTGAAATGTGTTTGAGTTGTGCCACTTTTTTATAGAGAAATGTGGCAAGTTCTTTGAGTACAGCAAGAGCCCACAAACTGACAAGTGATAGGTGAGCAGTTGGCGTGGTGATGTTTTGTGCCTATTCTTCTCCATGCCCTTGGATAACATCTTGATTGGCCATTTGATGCTCTTTCAAATCCTTAAATTTTCACAGATGCTGGGTAACTCCTTTTACATCTTGTGATATGGGTGTCTATGGCAAGGCTGATTATTTCTTGCCTGTTCTCCTGATTTATCCTTGTGTAGCATTGAGGACTATCCTGAGCACTATAGAACAGACAATTAGGAAGGAAACTCCAGGGGTTGGAGGGCAATTTCCCCATTTCAGAGGTGGTTCCCCCCTGCTAGTGCCCTTGAAAAACTAGATGCCTGATCTTTGGGAGCATGTCCTGTAATAGGAATTTTACTGTAAAAGTTTCAATCTTATTTTTCAATCTTAACTGAAGACTTACGGCAAGAATATTGCTGTATCATGGTCACAGTTTCTGAAATAATCCTCTTTTCGCTTGCCTTCACCCTGCTACTCACAGTTACACTGTGGCAAATTGCTGGCTCTTTCATCTTGGCTCCTGCGGGGCCTATGGAGAACAAAGTCTCCACACAGTCCAGTAAATTAACATCAGTATTTTTAAGTTCCGCCTGAGGACCACGTGGACTCGTGATCTCATCCCTCCAGATCAAGTAGATGAAGAGCCAGCATTGAGACCTCTCCCATGCTCCTCCTCATGTGACAAGCCCATTGTTCATTGTGTTGGCACTTGGTGTTTTTCAGTCTCAACTGTAGAAGCTACAGCACAAAGTCCAAACTAAAACTTCCACAGCAGTCCTGAGGAAGAGCCTACGTGGATGGCAGAGTTGTCTTTCTGATGAACTCTTAAACCAGGATCCTGTCTGTGCTCCTTACTGGATGAGAGAGGTCCCATGGCCTTTATTTGAAGAGGGGTTTTGTTCTGATGTCCTGTTTCCAATATCTATCCCTCAACTAGTGTCATTAAAATAGAGCATCGTAACATTTATCAAACTGCACAAGCAGTAATTTGCCATGTTTCTTGCATTGTAGCAACTCCACCTCAATGCCTATAAAGTGCTTTGAAATGTTCTGAGGTTGTGAAATATGCTTTCTATTTTCATTTCAGCAACTCTGTATTTTTAGTTAAGAAATGCAGTCAGTCTTTGGAAGCTTTGCTGCACCCCGGGAATCAGAACTAATTACTGTCTTCAAATCAAACTAAGTTAGTGGCAGGAGGGCACTTGGAATTTTCCAGCTCAGAAACAGGCCCTTTGGCCCATCTGCTCTATGCTGCTGTTTATTGAACCTCCTCCCACCCCCATCTCACACAGTCCTGTTTCTGTTTCTATGTTCATTGTACTTCTACTTACTTAGCTTTCCATTAAAACATTTAATCCTCCTCAACCCACAAAGATTTCTGCGCTCTCTAATTCAGGTCCTCAGTGGTCCTGCTACATTCGGTCATGATTACTGATGGATATTAAACAATTCACTGGAGGAACAGCCTCCACAAATAACCCCATCCTCAGTAATGGAGGAGCCCAGCACATCCATGCAAAAAATACAACTGAAGTATTTGCAACAATCTGTAGCCAGAAGTGCCAAGTAGATGATGCATCTTTTTCACACAGAGGGTGGTGCGTTTCTAGAACGAGCTGCCGGGGGAAGTGATAAAGACCGGTACAGTCACAACATTTAAAACACATTCGGACATGTTAATGGATAGGAAAGGATTAGAGAAATGGGCCAAGCGCAGGTGCATGGGACTAGTTCAGGTAAACCTGGTCGGCATGGACAAGTTGGACTGAAGGGCCTGTTTAAGTGCTGTATGACTGTACGCCTCCAGAGGTCCTCAGCATCACAGACCTCAGTCTTCAGCCAATTTGATTTATTTCATGTTGTTATACCTCATGGGGTCGTGCTCTGGAAATCAAGGCTTGGTACTCTTAGAGACATCACAAATGTTAAAGATGTTTAAAAATTGTGCAGAATTCCCCAATTTTTAATACCCAGGTTGACAGAATGTGTGGACCAAGTTTCTGTACTCAGCATCTACTTATTTTCATAAATAATAATTATTAACTGCAAGTTGACAACATTGCAGTAATAGTAATGAAGACTTGTGCTGCAGAAATTGCAGAGCCCCTAGCTCAGCTGTCTCAATACAGCAACAACTCTGGAATCTATGCAATAATGTAGATAGTTGTCCAGGTATGTCCTGTACATCAAAAACAGGACAATTCCAACCTGGCTGATTACCACCCCAATCTACTCTTGATCACCAGTCAAGTAGAGGAAGGTGTCATCAACAGTGCTATCAAGCAGCACCTGCTCCGTGATGCATGGTTTGAGTCCACCAGGACCACTTGGCTCCGGACCTCGTTACAGCCTTGGTTGAGCAGAAGTCCAGTGATGAGTGAGAGTGACTGCCCTTGACATCAAGACCACATGTGACTGACTGTGGCATTGAGGAGCCCTAGCAAAACTGGAGTCAATGGGAATCGGAGGGAGAACTCACTGCTGTTTGGAATCATAGCTGGAGCAAAGGAAGAAGATTGTGATTGTTGGAGAGTTATTGGATGTCAATCATCGCAGCTGCAGGACATCTCTGTAGGAGCTCCTCAGAGTAGTATCCTAGGCCTAGCCATCTTCAGCTGCTTCACCAATGACCTTTCCTCCAGCGCAAGGTCAAAAATGGGAATGTTCACTGTGCACTGTTCAGCATCATTCACAACTCCTCAGATACTAAAGCAGTCCGTGCCTAAATGCAGCAAGACCTGGACAATATCCAGAATTGGGCAAAGAAGTGGCAAGTAACATTCACACCACACAAACATTTACTTCTTCCACTATCAGTGCTTAGTAGCAGCAGTGTGTACCATCAATGAGATGCAGTGCAGAAATTAATAAAGGTGCCTAAGACAACAACTTCCAAACGCACAACCACTGCCATCTGGAAAGACCAAGATGGCAGAATGATGGGAACACCATCATCTGTAATAACAAGGTGTAGAGCTGGATGAACACATGAAAATGAAGAAGGGTCTAGGCCCGAAATGTCAGCCTTCCTGCTCCTCTGATGCTGCTTGGCCTGCTGTGCTCATCCAGCTCTACACCTTGTTATCTCAGATTCTCTAGCATCTGCAGTTCCTGCTATCTCTCACCATCATCTGTAAATTCACTTCCAAGCCATTCACCATCCTGACTTGGAAATGTATTGCCATTCCTTGATTTTTTTTTTAGGTTAATATTGTAACTCCCTCTGTAGCAATGCTGTGATGAGCCAGCACCACATGGACTGCAGTGGTTCAATGTGGCAGCTTGCCACTGCTTTCTTAAGAGGAGTTGGGTGTTGGCAATAAATGTTGATCCAGGCCACAAGCCATGAATGAATAAAAACATTAACCATTTTTTGTTATAAAATTTCTTGTGTTCTACTTACATTACCCCCTTCTTGAGAATGCACGCAGTTGGTGGGCGGGTGGGGGCGTCTTCTGTGCTGCACAGGGATCCTTCGCTGCTCAGGCTTCAGGATAGCTGTTGACCCTCCCCCCCCACCGCATCACTCATCACTCACCCTCCACCACGCAATCTCTCACTCTTGTTCCCCACCCCCCCGCATGCCCTCCACACTTGCACTCTCTCTTTCTCTCTATCTCCCCGCTCTCTAGTTATCTCTCTCTCTCGGGTTAGGCAGTCAAGCACCAAACTGGATAGCTGGTCTATGAGGTTGCCATGGCAGCACTCCCAGGAGTTTCTTGTGCAATCTTGCATTGGAGTGGATTTTGTTAAAGCAGCATTCTCAACGCGTTGCTCTGAGTTAATAAACTGGTCAACAAGCATAGATGAATGATTTTGTGAGGTTATGTTACTTCTTTAGGGTAATTTAAACCTGCAACAACACCAATTTAGCTTGAGTTTTAAGGGCCTAACTTGGCCTAGAATAGGCTGAACTGGAAAATCTGCCTGGAGCTTATCTTCCGTTTTCTCTCCCATTCTGTGTCTGTAGCTCTTTTCGATTGTTGTTTTCGGATCAATTATCAACGAAGGTTATATGAACCGACCCACGGAGGTGGAACAGCACTGCATCTTCAACCGGAATCCCAACGCCTGTAACTATGGCATCACCATTGGCGTGCTGGCCTTTCTCGGGTGTATGGCCTTCCTCGCCCTCGATGCTTATTTTCCGCAGATCAGCAGCGTGAAGGATCGGAAAAAGGTGGTTCTGGGGGATATTGGATTTTCAGGTCAGTGTTTGTCTCTCAGGCTACAGTAGAACTCATGCATATCAACCCATGAAATGGGAAGGAAAGGAGACCATTTTGTCCCTTGAGCCTGCAGCGCCATTTGATAAGATCATGGCTGCTCTAGTTGTTTTGAATTCCACATTCCCATCCACACAAATGACCTTACATTCTTGTTAGGCAGGGAATTGATCAACCTCTGCCTTAAAAATATATAGTGGCCAGTGTTACACCTCACTGGGATAGAGCCCTGTAAATCCCTTTCGCACTCAAGTGTACAAAAACACAGCAGGTGTATATTGAAACTCTATCTTCTGTTCTCTCACTGATTCTCGCTCTCCTCTCACTGTCTCTCACTTTCTGTAACATACAGTGACACATACACATTCACTCATTCGTTCTTACACTCACACTGTCACACTGAAATATATATTAAAACTCACTCACTCGCACAGACATGTACACTCTGTCTCACATATACACAGACAGACATACATTGGTTTATGAAACTTCTATCTCTCTTTCTCACACTCTCTCTCTCACGTGCACAGACATCTATAGATATGTTCACAACAACAAAAGAAAAAAATTGGCGTTTTGTGTGAGGGTTGGAAAAAAAGCTGGGGAAGCTATTCAATGGGCACAGTCCACGTAGTTCACTGAGTTGATCCTTTTGCTTGCTAGGATTTTCTTATCTTTAATCTCTGTTCCCAGGTTTTTTCCTATTCAATAGGACGCCCAGGCAATTGATGCACTCGCTGCAAACTTTCTTGTTACTGGTTAAAAGCCACAGCTTACAGCAACTGGTGGGGGCAAATAAACTAACTTTCTTCAAACTTCAGGTATTTTACTGAAGATGAAGACACCACATCTGCCCCTTGTAGCAGTCCGAAGGCTACTGCTACAATTGTTCGTACCCGCAAGCTGTTCAGCTACCCAGGGGCCAATCAGGTAGTTGTCAGCTGGATGGCCTTTGCCATCCACAACTAGTTACAATTCTACAAACCAATCAGGAACCTGTTGCCATCCGAATCTCATTTTGTGCACAGCCCTGGTACCAGCCTGTCAGCACAGCCTGCCGCACTGCTTAAAAAAGGCAGCTGTGTAAACACAACTTATAATCAATTTCAGAAACATACTCTTTAAATGTACAAAAATACCTTCCTTAATCCTTGGTTTTAAAACAGCCCATTTCTTTCAGTTCACAATATAAAAAGTGGAACTTTTTTTTAAAATTTGGTATTTACACCAAAGACAGAACTCCTAGAGGAACTGCAGATGTTTAATTCGATAACTGTTAGCTGTGACTCAGAATGTAGCATTCTGGTGTGCACGCACCCTCTCATGCTCTCACTCTGTCACATGCCCTTTTCTGTTGCGTGCCTCTTGCTAAATCTCTCATCATGCTGTCCCCCTCCGTAGCTTGTGGACTCTGTCACTCTCACCCAGTGCTGCACTCGCTCCATCTGTTGTACTCTCTCTCTCCCTCTCCTTCTTCCTCCCTCTCTCTCTCTCATGTGACCACCCTGACACCACCCCGTCCCAAAATCATGCTACTGCTGCCCACATGAACAGCAGTCTTACACACACTGTCTCTCTCTCCCCTCCCTCCCCCTTCTATTCCATGTGCAATGCTTGGTTGATGCTCGGGATTGTTAGTGCCTCAGGACACACCTCCCCCTAATTATAGAGTTACAGTTTTATTTTTAATTGTTCATTCTATCCCAACAGCGTTTTGGTCCTTCCTGTGGTTTGTGGGATTCTGCTTCCTCACCAACCAATGGCAAGTGACAGATCTGGAGAAGGACGACCCGTTAAAGGAAGGAGCCGATGCTGCTCGAGCTGCCATCACTTTCTCCTTCTTCTCAATCTTCACCTGGGTAAGTCACTGGCACATTTCACTCTAGATCCCCTTCACCCTGGACAGCATCGGCAGAGTGTGTTCAACACTGATCCCTTCACTCATCCCTCCTCCACAATGATAGGGGCAGCACAGTGGCAAGGTGCCTCACAGGGATCCTGGTTCAGTCCCAGCCTCGGGGGACCATCTGTGTGGAGTTTGCACATTCTCCCCGTTTGAGTGTGGCTTTCCTCCAGGTGTTTCGGTTTCCTTCCATCGTTCAAAGATGTGCAGGTTAGGGTGGATTGACCATGCTAAATTGCTCCTTGTGTCCAGGGATGTGTAGGCTAGGTGGGTTAGCCATGGTAAAAACCCCATATGGGGTTAAAGGTATGGGCTTGGTCTAGGTGGAATGCTCTTAAGAGGGTCACTGTGGACCCAATGGGTTGAATGGCCCCTTTAGCAATTATATGGTCCTTCATTTAAGGTCAAATCCAGATAGTAGAGGGTTGACCATCTTCTCTTGTCCATTGAACTTCAAGGCTCGGCCTAGAATTTGGGCCGTATACATTCACTTACCATTTGGAAAAGGCCCACTGCAGAAAGCTGACCCCCCTCGCTCTGTGCTCCAAGGGGATTTCGTAGAATTGTAGAAAATTTACAACACAGAAAGAGGCCATTCAGCCTGTCATGTGTACTGGCTGAGTAAAGCAGCTGCCCATTCTAAGACAACAAGGTGCAGGGCTGGATGAACACAGCAGGCCAAGCAGCATCATAGGAGCAGAGAGGCTGACGTTTCGGGCCTAGACCCTTCGTCAGAAAAGGGGGAGGGGAAGGGGATTCTGAAATAAATAGGGAGAGAGTGGGAGGCGGATAGAAGAGGGATAGAGGAGAGGATAGGTGGAGAGGAAACAAATAGGTCGAAGAGGCGGGGATGGAGCCAGTAAAGGTGAATGTAGGTAGGGAGTTAGGAGGGGGATAGGTCAGTCCAGGGAGGACGGACAGGTCAAGGGGGCGGGTCCTGCTTTCCAGCACCTGATCCATAACCTTGCAGGTTACAGCATTTTGGGTACATCATTAAGTTCAATAACCAGCATTTTGAAATGGCAGCAAGTTGGACTCCTTGAACCATAAAAGCTGGCATTCTAGCATTTGGGTCTGAATTATTCAACTGAGCATCAAGGAATCAACGTAGTAAACTATCTCCTATTCAATGTGGGAGTGGTGCAAGGAGCTTGACTCTATCTAACCCTGTGCTGTCCCTGTCCTGGGAGTATTTGAGGGGGTGAATGTAGAGAAAGCTTCACTGAGAGTTTAACAGAGTAGAGGGAGCTTTACCCCGTATCTAATGCCATGCTATCCATATCCTGGGAGTGTTTGAGGGGAACAGTGTAGAGGAAGATTCGCCATCTCTTCCAGATTATTGAGTCTTGTACCCCATTCATTTCTAATGTAGTGTGGAGAACTGAGCAGGGAGATGCCGTTTCTGACAGCTTACTATTTTTCAGCTCCTGTGTTAATGCTTGAGCGACAGGACACATAGCCTGTGTATAAAACTGACGACTTCTGATCCTAGGTTCCTCCTGTGTGTTTTACCCAGTTCCTGCACCTTCCTTTTGCAGGGTTATTTGGTTCTCTTTGCCATGGATCGATTAAAGGGCATCACGTTCACTGAGGAATACAGTAAATTGTCCCCACCACAGCCAACCCCTCCTCTTGCTTAACCACAATGTCCTGCTCAGCTTCCAAACACTCAGACTCCAAAGCACAGCGATTTGAACACTGTGAGCTGCTAGACTATCCCCGCTTGCTTGAGTGGCTTTCTCTCCTGCTGCTGTAACTCTCGATTGTGGTGACTAATCTGATTTTTGAGGGGGAAAGTGCATTTGATTTTATTGCCTGTTGGGATAAGCAGGTGTAGCTTTGTGAGTTAGCTACATCCCCTCCCCTACTCCTTCATCCCCCTGTTTCTTTGGCGGTTTGGTGATTGAGAATCAGTATTTTTTTTTGTCAAAGAATCTCAGGAACGCCAGACTTGGCTCATCTTCAAATCCCTCAGACTCACCCCTCTCTTGTCTACCTTGAACTCCAAAATGTTGCTATGCCTCTGCTTTGCCTGACCATTGTTGTCTCTCTTGCCCTGTCATCTCGCTTGTATTAATTCATCTAATTTTGCAAGTTGTGGTCCTAAGAGTGGATGAGCCTGTTTCATTTATTTATCTTCATCACCGTTTGCTTCGGATATTTGCACTTCCAGCAAATAAGCTTCACTTGAGCCTGGAGGGTGCTTTTCAGCAGCATCAATCCAGGATTTTCCACTCCCTGTAGCCCAGCAATTGGGCCACTGTCATTTGTAGTCCCTGAAGTTGCATAGGTTTTAGAATTGATTTGAAACCTGACAAAGGTTCTTGCTACAAAAACAGAAAGTGCTGGAGAAACTCAGCATGTCTGAAAGCAACAAAAACAAAAATTGCTGGAAAAGCTCAGCAGGTCTGACAGCATCTGTGGGGAGAGAAACAGAATTAACATTTCAGGTCAAGTGACCCTTCCTTCAGAGCTGAGGTGTTTCCACAGAAGCTGCCAGACCCGCTGAGCTTTTCCAGCAATTTTTGTTTTTGTTTCTGAATTCCAGCATTCGCACTTCATTTGGTTTTTATAAGGTCTGAAAGCATCTGTGGAGAGAGAAGCGATTTAACATTTCGAGTGCAGTGACCCTTTGGAAGAACTGACAGCATCTCAGAAAAGGGTGGTATTCATGCTGATGACAGGGAAGGAGTGAATGGAACACATGGAGCTGGTGCTGAGAGAGAAAAAAAGACAGAGAGAAAGGAGAGGCAAACAAAGTGATTGCTGATGAGCTAAGCGGGAGGGAAATGTTGGGGCAGCTGCTAATGAGAAGTGTGAATTGTTGAAAATGGACTGGCTGTGTTGGGAGCAACCCAAACCAAATGGGTGTAGGAGTGAGCAATAAACACAGAGCAGGGTCTTCTCACTCTCAAATCACTAAACTCAATGTTGAGTCCTGAAGGCTGCAAGGTGCCTGAACGGAAGCTGAGGTGTTGTTCCTCCAGCTTGCACTGCAGCTTGCTGGATCACTGCAAGATAGAAATGTTGCTTAAGGCGCACGGTGGTGTGTTAAAGTGGCAGACACTGGAAGCTTGGGGTCATGTTTACAGCCAGAGGACGTAGGCGTTCAGTAACACGGCTTCCCAGAGTTTGTTTTGTCTGCCCGATGTACAGGAAGATTGTGTTGTGAGCAGCGAATACAGAGACGAGACGGAAGTGCAGGTAAATCACTGCTTCACCTGGAAGCTGTGTCTGGGACCTTGGATAGTGAAGAGGGAGGAGGTAAACAGACAGGTTACACCTTCTCCTGTTGCATTGGAAGGTGCCATGGCGGGGAGGTAGTGTTGGGAATAGAGGAGGAGTGGACCAGGGTGTCCCAGTGGGAACGGTCCCTGCAGAATGTTGGCATGAGAGGGGAGGGGAAGGGGAATGTGTATCTGGTGGTGGCATCCCACTGGAGATGGTGGAAATGGCAGCTTGTGCTCCTTTGGATGCGAAAGCAACACATGCCCACTTACCTCCTCGCAATTTAAGGCCTGTGCTGTATCTATAAAAATGACCCCAAGATTCCAGTTGTCTGCCACTTCAACTCACAGCCATGTGCCTTGGCCAGCATTTCTGTCCTGGATCTACTGTGGTGCTTCAGTCAGGCTCAATGCAAACTGGAGGAACAACACCTCAACTTTTGCTTAGGCACCTTACAGCCTTCAGGACTGAACTTTGAGGTTGACAATTTCAGATTGTGAACACCCTCCTCCATGATCATTACCCGCAATCCCCCTCCCCCGCTGTCATTGGCAGAACTGACAGCATCTCAGAGAAGGGTGGCATTTATGCCAAAGGGTCACTGGACTCAAAATGTTAACTTTTTCTCTCTCCACAGATGATGCCTTACCTGCTGAGATTCTCCAGTGCTTTACTTTTGTTCCAGATTTCCAGTATCTGCAGTTCTTTTGTTTTATTAGAGTTTCTAGCTGCAAGGTTAATCTCCTCAGCTGAGTTAGTGTGGACAGGAGGCTGTGAATATTTCCATATTCCATGTCTGCCTATCACTGACGTGTATCTGCAGATGCAAAACAATTAACTGCTTGGATTTGTCGCACTGCTCATATTAGAGACCTTTAAAACTGCCTCCTAATGTGTTAACCACAGATCTCATAACGTGCTATGCTTTCTGAAGGTCATTAACATTCTGCACGTTAACACCACTAACTGCAGTGTCCTTTTATTGTTCTATCTTTCACTCTCTGTTTTACCACCGATCCCCAACCCTGTCACTCCCTCCTCCCTGCCTCTCAACTCTTTTCGTCTCTGCCCCTGGTCCCCATCTCGCTCGCTCTCTCGCGCTGTCCCTCGCACTCTCTCTCGCTCGCTCTCCCTCTCTGTCTGTCTGTGTCTCGCTCTCTCTCTCTGTCTTTCTGTCTCTCTCTCTGATTCTGTCTGTCTGTCTCTCTCTCTCGCTCTCTCTCTCTGTGTCTCGCTCTGTCACTCTGTCTCTGTCTCTCTCTGTCTTGCTCCCCCTCTCTGTCTTGCTCCCCCTCTCTCTCTCTCTGTCTGTGTCTCGCTCTGTCTGTGTCTCGCCCTCTCTCTCTCTCTCTGTCTGTGTCTCGCTCTCTGATTCTGCCTGTCTCTCTCTGCCTATCTCTCTCTGCCTGTCTCTCTCACTGCTGTTGTCCCTGCCCCCCTCTTGCTCTCTTGTCTCTGTTTAAAGGCTGCTCAGGCTTTCCTGGGATACCAGCGGTACCGCCTGGGGGCCGACTCTGCTCTTTTCTCACAGGAGTACACAGACCCGAGCCAGGACAGCTCTGCTCCTTATGGCCCATACCTCTCCGGTGATGAGATGGAAGCCCCAGGCTCTTACCAGCAGCCACTCTCAACAGGAGCCTACACGAGCAGCTCAGAGGGATACCAGACGCAGGATTACTGAGCAAAGCAACAGCCAGGAGGGAGTAAAACCAGAATGACAATTCCTCCCTCACACACAACCTTTACACATTTTACTGGGCAACCCTTGGTTTAAATGAGAGAAAGCTCTGACACACCACAAGTGTGTATCATCACTGGATCAGGGTTTCATATCCTTGAGTTTGATTCACATGTTGTAACTCCTGCAGGTGCTTAAGCGGAATATAAAATACTTCCACATTGTCTGGTCTGTTCTCTAAGACATGACCACTTGAGTGCAGATAATTTTTGATGGAATGGAATATATATGTGTATATATTTATTTTAATTAAAGGTTTATTTATTGATTCTGGAAGACAAGTCAGCAGCTGGAAACTTGCCCACTCCCCTGATGTGCCCACCTATGCCATCTCCTCTCTGCAAATTCGCTGCCCTTCCTCCCAGCTCCCTGTGCACAGATAAGATCTGTGCACAGCACTGATACTGACAGGAGGTTGATCTGCTGGTGCTGGTGCTGGGGGATGAGGACTGGAGCGAACGAGTGTGTCTGGGACCCAGCTTTCACTGGCACTGAGGTGTGGAACAGGGGATTGTTCAGGATGCTGCTTCAACTGGTGTTCACCAGGGGCATGGGACATTGTAGGGGCCAGAGTCGGATGTGAAGGAAAGCTATTCTCATTTACTGAAAAGCACAAAGTAACAAGCTAAGCAATTTTTTTTGCGGGGGAGGGCACGGTGAAAAGTGCAGAGATTTCTGTCCACTCAAGAAGCCCTTACAGATGATCAGAGACAGCGTGTCCCCTGGTCCAGTTATTTTAAACAGGGGGAAGGGGTTGGGAAAGGGGTCGCGATGGTGTAGGTGGGGGAAGGTGAAAATGGATGTGTGCTCAACTTGATCTGTAGCCTGAGATTTCAATAGTGAGGGATAGTTCACCTCTGTTATGGCACTGGGACCAGGTAGGCATTGCCCTGTGCGTATGTGTGGGAGAGGGGGTATGTGGTCACATGAGTGTGTGTGTTGTGTAACTTCCCTTTTGACTTGTTCCCTTCCCCCCCCGGTCCATCTCTCTCTTTCTCATTCTCCATCTCTCTCTTTCTCACTCTCCACCTCAATCTTGTGCACTCTCTCTCTGTCCCTCCCTTTACCTCAAGGTCTAGGGAATATCCTGTGTTTCTGAACACGGCCATAGGGCTGGACGCAGCTGAAAGGTATGTCCTTGTGTTTTATTTGGAAGCTGGAGGGGGGAGGGTAGTCAGCTGTCATTGACCTCAGTAATCTCTGAGTTTGGTATGTGGAGCAGACATCAACCTGAGTTCCTCCTCATGGACGTTGAATGGATAATTGACCACCTCAACCCAGCCCCCCTCTCTCCCTCCCCTCCCTCCCTCCCCTCCCTCTCCCTGCAAGACTGCAGAGTGTATGTACGGAGCTCAGCAGCCAGAGATAGTTACCTATCAACAGGTGGGAGCAGAGGTGCAGAAAGATCCTATGGTAGCCCAGCAATGAGTCAAGGTTCTTTGTGGTTTTGGGGGCTGTAGATCAGTGAGAATGGTGCTAGGGCAGTAGTTGGCCATTGGGTGGTTATTAATTGGCATCAAGAGGTCTCTGTGCGATTGACACCGTACATGTGACCTAAACTGTGTTAACACTATGATCAATACCAGCAGGTGTTAGGAAAACCCATGTCCATGGAGCATGGTCTGAGAGGCTGTGTGTCCATCCAGAACTGTCTTATCAAACCTCACTTTACACATTGCCTAGTATTCTGTGTACAGAACAGGGGAAACTGCAATTAAACTACCGATCCTTAACAATGGTAAACAAAAATGTATAAATCTGTATTTCATATAGTATTTTACTGTTGTATTTAAAAAAAACTTTTTATGTGTTACTATGGATACCAGGCTAGGCCCAGGCTTTCTGAGGTAATGCTGCCAAGGGAAGGCATCCAGAAACTTCCATCCATAAAAGATAACACTACAAAAATAACTTCAAATATCAAAAACACCTGATCTATTTCTTCAGTTTCTGTATTGAGAGTCCATGGAATGGAACAGAATCAGTGACTGTAAAAGAAACGTGTGGGAAATTGGCCAGTGATCATTGAGTGGCCAAGTTGGCAGCACCACTCCTGACAGTCTCTCTCTCTCTTTTGTCCCTCATTAGCTTGGTGAGAGAAGTTTTGGGTGAGATACAGTGTGGGAGAGATTGCGAAGTGCAGGACAGCAAGTGTGAAAGCCTGCAGATGTACCTGGTCTGGTTCACTCTGACCTCTCCTATGTTTTGATTGGCTCTTATGCAAGAGGGCATTCGAAACGAGCAACTGACTGGTCACTGCTGCATTCTCATGTCACTTTGCATGTTCGAGTCCCAAGCTAGATACTTGAGCCCAAAATCTGGGCCGATCCTTCTGGTATCTGTACTGAGCCTTGCACTATAAGCTGTGCTGCCTTCCCAATAAGAGAGCCTATTGATGCTGTCAGCTGGAGGTGAAACATCCCAAACCTCTGATTCAGAGAAGGGCACAGAAGATCTCCCCTTGTGTCCTGGTCCAGTAGTTTCTCTTTCAACTGGTATCACTAAATCAAATTGCCTGGTCAGTACCATGTTTGAAATTTATGGGATCTTGCTTTGCACAAATTGACTGCTGCGTATCCCACATTGCAACAGTGACCACATTCTGAAAAGTACATTGTTGCTGGTAAAGAGGATTGAGAAATTCTGAGCGCTATAGCAATGTCAGTTCATTGTTCCTTTATAATCAGTCTAGGAATTGGCTCCCTCCCTTAGCAACGGTTACCTCGGATAGTCAGGGGTATGTAAAGGGATAGGTTGGCCTGGGGCTGGAGATGCTGTCGAGGAGTATTGTTGGGATTTGCTGAGCCCTGCTGGGAGTGTGGCCTGTCCCATTGTGTCACTGTCCCCATCTGCTGGGCTTAAACTTACCCTCATCACATTGCTGCTCGCCAGATTCGTCCCATTCCGATCATCCCTGGAGTGATTGAGGGTAAAGGGGATGTTACGAGTGTGAACCAGCCCCAGTCTGTCACTGTTTGTCCAATCCTGGACTCTCCTTCCACCAGACAGCATACTGCACTAGCCACTAACTTATTGCAAACTCTGTGTGTAGCATTGTGTATAGAATTAATTGTGTATAACATGGAGCCCTGTGTCTTTATATATTGTTGCTGCTGTTGTGTGTCCCACACATTGCAGCCTGTGTTTGTGGTATGTTGAGCAGATATTAATTATTTATCTGTAAAATTGTGATTCTCAATAAAATGTTTCAAGTAGATAACACGGCTTCTTGTGTATTTCTTTCCATCCCTTTCTCTAACTCACTCGCTTTCCTCCTCTCTCTCTTTTCCTCTCTAACACTCTCCCCCTCTCTCTAACACTCTCTCCCCCTCTCTCTAACACTCTTCCCCCTCTCTCTAACTCTCTCTAACACTCTCTAACTCTCTTTTCCCCCCTCTCTGTAACTCTCTTGCCCCCCACCTGTCTTCCCATCCCCAAATCTCTTCCTCCTCCTCTCTCTCACTCTCTTTCCTCCCCTCTCTCTAACTCTTCCCTCCCCCACCAACTCTCTTTCCCCGCCCTCACTCTAACTCTCTCATACATACACACACACACTCTCTCTCACTGTCTCTGCCAGATCTCATGGCCCCAGCAACTGAAGATCCGGCCCCTAATGGTGGAAGTGGGGAATTCTCGAGAGGAGAGGTGAGATTGGGAGAGTGCAGAGATCTAGATGGGTTGTAGGTCTGCAGGACATTATAGTGATAGTGAGGCGGTGAAAGGATTTGAAACACAGGATGAGAATTTCTGAAATTTGCAACTGAGATTTTTCCCAGACTGGGATAAATGTAGATTATTAAGGACAGGAGTAAATGGGACTATGAGTAGTTTAGGGCACAAGCAGCAGAGACTGTGGTGAGTTTTGATGTTTATGGAGAGGGGGAGGCAGCTCGAGACCATTGAGTTAGTCCTGTTTGGGTAAGTGCAGTTAAACAGCTGCAGCAGTGGCTGATGTGGGCATTGTTGCCAGGATAGAAGGTGGCAGATTTGGTGATGTACATGTGTCTTCCCCAATATTTTCCCATTCTGATTTTTATAGGCTATTCTGAGAAGTTTACACATTCTGGCTGGGAGTTTGTGGATGGTGGTTTTGGATGTGCTAACTCTCTGCAGACTGCTGTTCAGACTGGAATGTACTACACTGACCTTGCTCAGAAACCATTTCCAGTGGCAGCAGGATCTGTAGGAGACAGATTTTAGATAATTATGTGAAGCAAGGTGAGGATAAACAGGCCATTTGGCCCAACCAGTCCATGTTGGTGTTTATGCTCCACTCAAGTTTCCTCCCATATTTTTCTTCTCTAAGCCTACAATCATAACCCCTGATTCCCTTCTCCCACAAATCATCATCTCCCTTCCCCTTAAGTTCACCTGGACAATTTGCCTGACCCACTCCGTGCGGTGGTGAGATCACTGTTGTCTGTATGAACAGGCTTCTTCTGAATGTTGGTTGGATTGCTTGCTGACTGTACTATTTTGACAGCCTCCAGCTAATTATCTTCCCCACAAGAGGAAACATTCTCTCTTATGTATCTGTTCTAGCAAAGCCTTCCATAATTTTGATGAGGTTTGTTTTCCCATGGCAGGTTGCTGCAATAACAAACTCGCTGCCTGAAAAGGAACTCGAAGCATATTTGATCGGAGCCTTTGGAACGGGAATAGAGTCATAGAGCTGTACAGTATTGAAACAGGCTCTGGTGCAACTCGGCCATGCTGACCAGATATCCTAATTTAATCTAGTCCCATTTGCCAGCGTTTGGCCCATATCCCTCTTAGACCCTTCCTATTCATGTACCCATCCAGATGCCTTTTAAATGTTGTAATTGTACCAGCCTCCACCACTTCCTCTGGCAGCTCATTCCATACATGCACTGCCCTCTGTGAAAACATTGCCCTTCAGATCCCTTTTAAATTTTTCCCCTCTCACCTTAAACCTATGCCCTCTAGTTTTGGACTCCCCTACCCTGGGGAAAAGACCTTGGCTATTCACCCTATCAATGCCCCTCATGATTTTATAAACCTCTATAAGGTCACCCCTCAGCCTCTGAGACTGTGAGGGAAGGAGTGAAGACTAGGACTAGTTGGAATGCTTTCCAGAGAGCTAGCAGACATGAGGGGCTGAATGGTCATCAGCTTTGCTGTATCGTTATATGTCATTGCTTCCCAGTCAAGTGAAGTATTGGTTTTAAAATTCTCATCCATTTTTCCAAACCCTTCCATGCTGTTATTCCTTTTTGTATCTGTGAGCTCCTCCATCTCTACAATCCTCTGAGCTCCCTGAACTCCTCCAGTCCTGGCCTCTTGCACATCCCTGATATCAGTTGCTTAGCCATTAATGGCCATGTTTTCAGCTGCTTGGGTCCTGATCTCTGGAATTTCGACTGAACCCCACTCTGCCTCTCTCTCCTCTTTTAAGATGGTCCTTAAAACCTTCCTCTCTGTCCAAGAATTTGATTTCCAGCCTTAAACATCTGGTCTGATGTCATATTTTGTTTAGTAATGTCCTGTGAAAAACCCTGGGATGTTATGGTCCATGTTGGCACCAATAAGATTGGCAAGAGCAGGCAATGTTTGGGGAATATCAGGTATTAGGAGCAATTTTTTTTTTAAGAAAGCAGATCCTCAGTTGTTGTAATCTCTGGGTTATTACCTGAGCCTTGTGCAAATTAGTAAAGAGATGAGATTTGGAAAGTAAACACGTGGTTAAAGGATTGGTTAAAGCAGGACAAAGGGTTCCATTTTGTGGATCACTGGCATCAGTATTGGGACAGGATGGGGAGGCGATGGCCTAGTGGTATTATTGCTGGACTGTTAATCCAGAGACCAGCTAATGTTCTGGGGACCTGGGTTCAAATCCTGCCATGGCAGATGGTGGAATTTGAATTCAATACAATATCTGGAATTAAGAGCCTTATGATGACCTATGAATCCATTGCTGATAGTTGGGGGAAAACCCATCTGGTTCACTAATGCCCTTTAGGGAAGGAAATCTGCTATCCTTACCTGGCCTGGGCTATATGTGACTCCAGACCCACAGCAATGTGGTTGACTCTCAACTGCCCTCTGGGCAATTAGAGATGGGCAAAAAATGCTGCCTAGCCAGCAATGCCCTCATCCTGTGAATGAATTAAAAAACAAGGAAGGAACTGTACTGTCAGGGCAAACTCAACCTGCGACCAGGATCCAAGCAGAATGGCTGAATAAGGTGGTCACAAGGAAGTTTAATAACCTCTGCTGAACCCTGTTCCCACTTTAACTAAATTAAAGTTTCCAGAACAAGTAACAAGACAGATAGTATGGAAAGGTTCGGGAATCTAACTTCAGGCACAGCAAATAAGGGGATAACAATGAGAAAGAGGCTGGTCAATGCAGGACTGAGGTTATTAAATGCACACAGTATACAAAATAAGGGAAATGAGCATGTAGCACAGACTGAAATTGGTAGGTACGATGTTGTGGGTATCACAGAGATGTGGCTGTAAAAGGATCAGCGCTGGGAACTAAACATCCAAAGATACACATCCTATCAAAAGGATGGGCAGAGGAGGCAGGGTTGTCGTCAGTAAAAAACGAAAGTAAATCAATAGCAAGAAGTGATATAGGGTGGGATAGCATAGCATCTGTATGGGTAGAGTTCAGGAACTGCAAAAGAAAACAGATCGTGATGGGAGTTCTGAACAGGCCTCCTAGCAGTAGTCAGGATGTGGGACAGAAAAGAAATCAGGAGATAGAAAACGCATGTAAGAAAGGCACTATTACAATCATCATGGGGGACTTCAACATGCAGATGGACTGGGAAAATCAGGTTGGTAGTGGATCTCGAGAAAAGGATTTTGTGGGCTATTTTCGAGATGGTTTTTACAGGAAATACTGGATTTGGTGATGTGTAATGAGACAGACCTGATTAGGGAGCTTAAGGTGAAGAACCCCCTAGGGGGCAGTGACAATAATATGATAGAATTGACCCTGCAGTTTGAGAGGGAGAAGCTGGAATCAGATGTCATGGTATTACAATTGAGTAAAGGTAACTACAAAGATATGAAGGAAGGAGCTGGCCAGAGTTGATTGGAAGGGAAGATGGTGGAGCAGCAGGGATGAAGGTCTTGTCATATGAGGAACGTTTGAGAACTCTGGGTCTGTTTGGGGGTAATTCACGAGGTACAGCAGAAATTTATCCCAAGGAAGCAGAAACATACTGAGGGGAGGACGAGGCAACCATGGCTGACAAGGGAAGTCAGGGACAGCATAGACACAAAAGAAAAAACACACAATGTGGTGAAGGTTAGTGGGAGGCCAGAGGATTGGGGAGCCTTTAAAAACCAGCAGAGGACAACAAAAACAGGAATAAGGTTGGAGAAGATGAAGTATGAGGGTAAACTAACTAGTAATATAAGAGAAAATCACAAGAATTTATTTTTATCTAGACATATGAAGGTATAGGAGGAGCAAAAGTGGCCATGGGTCACTGGAAAATGAGGTTAGAGCAGTAGTAATGGGGAACAAAGAATTGGCAGAGGAACTGAACAGGTAGTTTGCAGATAACAAGGTGCAGAGCTGGATGAACACAGCAGGCCAAGCAGCATCAGAGGAGCAGGAAAGCTGATGTTTCTGGCATAGACCCTTCTTCAGAAATGTAGTAGGTAGTTTGCATCCGTTTTCACAGTGGAAGATATCAGCAGCACACCAGAATTTCAGGAGAGTTCAGGGGGACAGAGGAGAGTGTAGTGGCCATCACGAAGGAGAAGGTGCTGGGGAAGCTGTAAGGTCTGAAGGTGGATAAATCACCTGGACCAGGATGGACCACATCCCAGAGTACTGAAGGAGATAGCTGAGGAGATAGAGGAGACATTGGTGGTGATCTTTCAGGAAACACTAGAGTCAGGGAGAGTCCCAAAGGACTGGAACATTGCTAATGTAAGAAAAGAGGAAGGTAGAAGACAGGGAACTGTAGGCTGGTGAGCCTGACCTCAGCTGTTGCTAAGATTTTCGAATCTATTATTGAGGATGATATTGTGGAGTATTTGGAAGTGCATGGTAAAATAGGGGTGAGTCAGCACAGCTCCATCAAGGGGAGGTCATGCCTGACAAATCTGTTAAAATTGTTTGAGGAGGTAATGAGCCAGTTAGACAAGGAAGAGCCAGTGGATGTGATCTATTTGGATTTCCAGAAGGTCTTTGGCAGAGTGCAGCACAGGAGGCTGCTAAATAAGATAAGGG